AGTTTCTGAGCCAATATTTTGGTTGCTAAGCAAGAGCGTTGTTAAGTGAGTTTCACCACATTTTACAAGTTACCAGTCACATGGCCAGCAAGCCACCCTGTCACATAGCTGGCAAGCCACTCCCACAAAGCAGGCCACACAGACAGAAGAGGTTCTAAAATGTTTTGAAACCCACCACTGGCTACATTGCAAGGAGAAACATGGTGGAGTCAGGAGAAAGATAAAAAACCTGGACTGCATCAATGCCTAATTCTGAATTACAATGGACATAGCTGTTCACCTGATTATTATCCAAGCATGCAGCTCAGCATTTCCCCTTTCTGACAGGTTAAATATTAAAAATTTCCCTTTTCTGACGGGTTAAACATCTATAGATATGGGTATCTATAGATATCTCAAATAAATAGAGAAACCTATCACTTATTTGTGCAATCCGACTTGCTTTGGGCTGGGTGGCTTCGCAATATGGCAAAAAAAAAAAGGGGGGGTTAGCAAAGGTGGAAAATTGTACCTTTTGCCTTTCTTTCTTCCCCAGGTGAGTTGCAAAGGCTCTCTGCAATGTCCCCAGGACAATGTTCGGGGCAAGTGTCAGGAGAAGTTATTTAACCAGGTGTGGGCAGGTGCGCAATGGTTTTTATCAGATTGTTCTCAACCCAACAAGCCTTTGCGTTGGAATGGAAAAGCTAAGGTGAGCATTGGGTGGTGCTCGGAACAGCTTCGGCCTTGAGAGATATAGGAAACGGAGGGAGTTTTGGAGCAAGGGAAGGATCTCTCCCCTTCAGTGCCCTGGATTTCTCCCCCCCTCCCCGCCCAGGAGAAAGCGATCAACGCACAAGTCATCAGAAATGACTTGGTGCCTGTGAAATTGGGGGGTTTAAATAAGTGGGGTGCGCTTGACAGATGGGATTAGAAGGGAAGACATAAAGAGACCCTGTGTTGTGGCCCGACAGCGACCAGGGGAGCTGGCAGCAGATTCGGACAGTGAGGAGGTTGGGGAGGAAGATGGGCCAGTCCTGGAGTCTGGAGGAGGCTCTGATAAGGGCTCTGTGTCGGAGGCAGAGAGAGGACCAAATTTGTGTTTTGTGTTTTAAATGTTGGAAAAGGTAATAAATACTGTAGGAAGTTATCACTCAGCCCTCTCCCAGAAAAAATGAAATATCCTAGGAAATATTGAAAAGGCAGAATATTACAATTCCCTGGATGTGAAAAGGGAGATGCATGTTTTAAAGACAGAATAGCTCCCTGCAGCTTCCTGCCCCTACCCCCCCCTTGTCAATGGGCCATTAAGATGCCCAAGCCAGTCCCTTTACATAATAAAGAGTTCTCCCCTTCAGCTCCAGAGAGATGGGATTAAGGCATGATTAGCCTTTACCCATTCACCACATGGCATCTGAGAACTCAACCAAACCTGGATTCAAANGTGTCCTTTTTCCTCTACCTGTCCTAACTGAAAGCCCTGTCTATTCTGGAACCCACCAGCGATAGGGAGCCACAGCAAAGGGACGAAAGAGCCACATGCAGCTCCGGAGCCGCAAGTTCCCGACCCCTGCTATAAACCTGAGGATCTCCCTGCCAGCATTTCCAGTTCTTGAAAGTCATCTTTGAGAAACCGGCAATCCCACCTGTTTGATTCCAATGGTACTTTTAGTTCCCGGCCTGATGTCAAAACCTTCGTGCTCTAAAAAGGGAGTTTGGTTGTGGCGGTGAATCATGACTCTCACGCCCGCCGTGGTGGACAGCAGAGGGATGTGGTCTTTTTGCTCCACTTTGAGAATGAGGGATAGGCCTGTATTGGGAAGCAGGAGGTTGGGGAAAGAGAAAAGGGGAAGACTGTTTAAAATCAGGATTCGGCAGAGGAGGAGGGCATGGTTTGTTTCTATCGTGCTGGTGAGGAGGCTGATAGAAACCGAATCTTCCCTGCACGTGGCTTGCCTCTGATGTTGTGATTAGCAAGTGTGGGAGCAACACTGGCTGTGTGTGGGTTGTGTTTCGCTGGTGAATTATTCACGGTGACTCTGCAGCCTCCCCTGTCAATAGAGGAGGGTGTATCTGCCTTGAGGAGGATGCAGTGATGTGTGTGCTTCTGTGTTCTCCTGTACACATCATGGAAGTTCACAGATTTCAAATAGGTTAGGGATGTGAGGAAATGTCTGTTCACATTTAGTGTAATTTTATAATCATTTGTACCATCCACACAATGACCTCGACTGAAAAGTTATTATTCTGCAATATATATTTTTTTCTGACCACTTCTATATCAAAAGGGCAGATATTTTAACTTGTGGGGGGAGGAGAAGAAAAGAGAAAAGAGAGGAGGAAGGAATCCTCCGCGAGCTGCACTGGCTGCACTGGCTGCCTATTGGTCTCCGGATACACTTCAAGGCNGTATGATATACGATGGAACTTATTGTTCCTATGTTGTTTTTAAGTTATGTATTTGTTTTTGTTGATGTGCTTATGCGTTTAAAATAAAAAAAATTATCACAAAAAAATAAAAATAAAAAGTGGATGGGTGGGAACCTTCCGACAATCACACAGGATCAGCTGTGAGTGGCGTGATCGTGGGAACCTTCCCCCGCTTTTAAAGCAATTTTTTTCCTGCAGGGAAAAAAAGCTTTAAAAAGAGAAGAAAGAGTTGGCCACGCCCACTCAGTCACATGACCCCCACCCCACCAGCAAGCCACGCCCACAGAACCAGTGCCAAAAAAAAAATTACATTTCACCACTGCTCCCAACTGACTGATTGACAATAGAAGCTCTTACCCAAGTGGGAGTTATCTCCTTGTGATAAAAGGTTATCTAATCAGGGAATTAAGAAAGTTAAGAAAGATAGCAAAGTTACTAGGCATAAGTTCTTTCTCTTTTCCAGATCAATGCACCGGGAACCCTGACTTAACGACCGTTCATTTATTGGCCATTCAAAGTTACAACGGCGTTCAAAAAAAATGCAACCTATGACCATTTTCCCCCGCGTGACGACCTTTGCAGCATGTCCATGATGACGTGATCAAAATTAAGACGCAGCTGCCTCATTTTTATGACGGTCGCAGTGCCCCGGGGTCACGAGATTCCTCTTTTGCGACCTTCTGAACAAGCAAAGTCAACGGGGAAGCCGGATTCACTTAACAACCGGGTTGCTAACTTATCGACTGCGGTGATTCAGTTGACAACTGTGGCAAGAACGGTCGTAAAAGGGGGCAAAACCCAGTTCACAAACGTCTCCCTCAACGAAAGAAACATTGGGCTCAATTGTGGTCGTAAGACAAGGACTGCCTGTACGTTCTCATCAGGGGTGGGTTTCTACCGGCATTATGGCAGGCAAAAAAATGTGTGCGCATTTACACCTAAAAAGGGCAGAACGTTAGAAAAGGGGGGGAAATTACATTTCTGCAATGGAGATTGTTCTGCGCATGCGCAGAACCAAAAATCAAGATGGCACCGCCAAGAATAGAACCGGTTCGGGTACGTGGGTGGCCGAGTTAGTAGCTACTCGGCCAAACCTGTCCGATCCAGGAGGAACCCACCTCTGTTTCTCATTGATCTTTTATTCAGAGGATGATTTTTTTTTTTAAAAAAAAGTCTAGTGGTCCATAAAGGAAGGGGTTACAATTGAGGGTGGGGAGAGGAGCTGTTCCACTTACCAGCCGGAACCCCACTTTGCCGTCCATCTTCAATAGGGCGATGTTACGATCCAGATGAAACGTGGAGCCATTGACCTGGCCAGGATTCTCTTCCGAAAAGTCAATGCCGACGTCTTCCTTAGTGTTCTTAGGAATGCGGAAGCCATATAAATTGAATAAGGTTTCCCTCGCCAGATTATCCAGTTTAGCGATATCTTGATTGACTGGGCTGATCCTGGGAAGATGGGCAGACATGACAAAAGGATTATTAAAGCCAGGGGAAAATTTTTCCGAGATCTTGTTTGGGAGGAAATAGGCTCCTATTCCCTAAACACTAGAGTATGCTGGGTTGTGCTAATTATCCCATTAATTACGTTTGATTAATCTCCAGGAACTTTTGTACTCAACAGTCAACAGTTCAGCTGTCAATAGCCATGGCGTTGGCCTAATTACTCTCTGATCCCTCATTGGCTACGACACCCATATAAATCATTTGATTCGTTTATTCATCCAATTTGTAAGCTGTTTCAGTTCTCCCGGGGATGATAAGAAGTGAACAATACANCATGCGCACACTGGGAACAGGCTCCAGCTGTTCTCCTGCCTCACTGATGTCTGACTCTGAAGGCAGCTGATAACTGTCATATGGCTCTGGCCCCCTCTCTGCCTCTGACACAGAGCCCTCCTCAGAGCCTTCCCCAGACTCCAGGACTGGCCCAGGTTCCTCCCCAACCTCCTCAATGTCTGAGTTTGTCGTCATCTCTGCTAGCCACTGGTGGGTCACAACAAGAACAAGAGGGCATTGCATCAAGGGTGGGTTCCTGCTGGCATTACTACCGGTTCAGGGGCCGAAATTTTTTTTGCATTAACAGAGGGATGCAATCAAGATCAAGTGAGGTACTAATACCACTCTGTAAAGTCCTAGTAAGGTCTCACCTAGAGTACTACATCCAGCTTTGGTTACCACACTATAAAAAAGAGGTTGAGACTCTAGAAAAAGTGCAGAGAAGAGCAACCAGGATGATTAGAGGACTGGAGACTGGTTACAGGAACTGGCCAGGGCCCATCTAGTGAAGAGAAGGACCAGGGGAGACAGGAGAGCAGTCTTCCCATATTTAAGGGGCTGCCACAGAGAGGAGGGTCGTCAAGCTATTTTCCAAGGCACCCGAAGGCCAGACAAGGAATAATGGATGGAAACTGACCAAGGAGAGATTCAACCTGGAAATAAGGGGGGAAAAATCTTACAGTGAGAACAATCAACCCATGCAACAGAAGTTGCCTTCAGAAGTTGTGGGAGCTTCATCTCTGGAAGCTTTCAAGGAGAGATTGGACTGCCAATTGTCAGAAATGGTGTAGGGTCTCCTGATTGGGTGGGAGGGATGGACTAGATGACCTATGAGGTCCCTTCCAACTCTGTTCATCTGTTAATCTGGAGTAGTCTGCTTCTAGAATATCAATGGTTGGGCAGAAACATATAGTTATTGGCTTTCTGGTGCAGATAATTCAGCTCAGCCATTCGTGGTAGCCAATGAAGAAAGCAATCTTTCTTTCCTTTTTTTCCCTTTTAAATCCTTTTAAGATGGCTTGTGCTTAGAGGGGAATGCCTTAGCTGAGAAGACACTCCCTTTCTGTGGTCAAAGAAGTATTTCAGATGGCCTGGGGAAAGGGTACACGTGTGCTTATCTGTGGATTCATTAAGCGATGAACCCAAAAAATTGCCCCTTAAAACGTGATCACAATCAAAGGGATTCTTGTTTTCTTTATTGGCCAAGAGACTATCTCTTGTGTTTAAGAAGAGAAAAAAAAGGGCTAAACTTTTGAGCAAAGGGACATCCGAAATCATTCATAAGTTCTGGTCTGTTGGATGCTAGCTTTGACCTTAGATGCAGAAATCGGCGTTCTGGGAAAGGCTGAGAATTTATTTTCCACTGCCAATATGGGAGATTTCATTCCATTCTATATCCTACAACAGTGATGGCGAACCTTTTTCTTATGGCATGCCACAATTGTGTGTGCTATTGCGCATGCACACGGGCCCACACCAATCCAATTTGCCCTGACCACCTGCACATGCGCACACACACCCCTCCCCAGGCTCCAGAGGCTTTCCTGAAGCCTGAGGAGGGCAAAAATGGCCTCTTCCGTCTCTCCGGAAGGCCAAAAATCAGCTGGTGGGCTTGCACATGTGCGCCGGAGCTTATGGTTGGCGTGCCAGCAAATATGGCTCTGCGCACCACCTGTAGCATGCGTGCCATAGGTTTGCCATCACGGCCCTACAATGAGCATCTCTGCATTTCTGGGGCGGCAGAGGTAGAAGACTTGGCTCACATCCTGATTGATTGTTGCTTTTATAAGGGGGTGGGAGACAAGTACCTTGGTCCATACACCAAACGAAGGACCCATTGGGGTCTCCATATCAAAACAACTTCCCTTATGTGCAGCCAGAACCCGAAAATAACATTTAACACAGCACAATACCTAAACAAAATGGTTCGGTTGAGATCTGCATACGTGGGACTGATTGGGGTAGATTGTAAAGGTGACAGCGAAATATAATTTTATGTCATTCTATTCTGTTTTACATTTTTATGTATTAAATCATATTGTATCTTGTCCTATCACTTTTGTATTTTACCCTACTCTTATTTTAAATTGTTCGTATAGGATTTTATTGGGGATATGTGTTTGATTTTTGTGCTTTGATATGTAGGCTAATCAATAAAGCTTATTATTGTAACCGCCAATCCCAAAATTCCAGGCACTGACATATCAATAAGCAAAAATGTCAAATATTGTAGAAGGGGTTGGGAATTTCTTTACTGAAAACTGCTTGCAAGAATGAATATTGATAAAAGAGAATATTTTGTAGTTCAGGGTTGAATTGCAGAGTTCTTGGTGCTTGTCTGGTTTCCTTGCAGACATTTCATTACCAAACCAGGTAACGTCATCAGTGCTAGTAGCGTGTCAAATAAGAGCAAACCCCTTTCCCTACCTAGCACCAAGAAGCCCTGAAGAATGAATATGCTGGGGAAAAGAGGGTTGAAGGAGATGGTTGAAGAACACACATTTTCCACAGCCGAGACGACAATGAGCTCCTTGTGGCTTAGATGAAGCAGTCATTCGCAAACAAGCAAGCACCACGAGACTGGAAGTGACACATCGCACCTGCATCTCAGGTGGCAGGAAAATGCAAGCAAGCGACCATGTGAATTGTTCTCCGACCAGAGTGCCATGGCAGACACGCTGATGTCTCATGTTCAGGTTCGTGATACCCCTGAAGAGCTTTTGTCTGGAGGAATGAAAGCATCCTAGGAATGAGGCAGCAAAACATGAGCCTCTTTAGCGGGGGTGGGGGGGGGGAAGCAGGTTAGGTTTCAGTGCAGAGACAGCCCCAAGCCAGCTGGTGATTTGCTTCTGAGAATTCCATAAATGGAGGTGAAAATAAAGCCCCCCCCTCCCACCTCAGACTTTCCTCCAGGGAAGATGGTTTGGGCTCAACCCCAACTCCATAATGTTGCAGCACAAATTATTTGCCTCGAGCTGAGGATGATAAGTGATTTACTGCAGGTCAAAAGGTGTAGAGTATGCATAACTGGCTCAGCCCTGTAGCTCCTGGAGGGTTAGAGGAATTCTATCCCACTGCCGGTGTTGAAAATGCATTGAGTGGTTGAGAGCTTCAGTGCATGGAATTGTTGTGGCCTGCCAGCGGCCACAACGAAGCCGGCAGCAGATTCGGACAGGAAGGAGGTTGGGGAGGAAGATGGGCCAGTCCTGGAGTCTGGGGAAGGCTCTGATGAGGGCTCTGTGTCGGAGGGAGAGAGGGGGCCAGAGCCACATGCCAGTTATCAGCTGCCTTCAGAGTCAGACATCAGTGAGGCAGAAGAACAGCTGGAACCTGTTCCCAGTGTGTGCATGCACAGAGCAGCCAGACGAAGGGAACAGCTAAAGAACAAGGGTCGACATGGGAGGAAGGCCATAGGCGGACGATGAACGGCCCCTCCTAGAAGAATTAAAAGAGGAGCAAAAGGGGAGTGGAGTTTGCAGGAGACTATCAGTTCGCTTCATTGGCTTGTGACTCTCCAACACTTCTTGCCAAGAGTTTTGCAGATATCGGCCTGGCAGCTCTTCAAGCCAGAGAAGGTCTGTGACTGTAAATCCTCCCTCGAAAGACTTTGCTGGATGTGAAGGAGCAGAGTGCACAGTCAATGAATAAAAGGCTTTTTTGTTGGGACCAGGAGTTTGCTTCCTGCTCTTGGGAAGCCTAGGTCAGAATAGGAACAAGGTTATGGGGTCCTCCGGTGGCACTGGGTTTCAGCCTTTTCTTTCCCTCCCTGCAGGTTCATGGATCAGCCAAGTGCAGGTGAGGGAGAGGCTGCAAAAAAATGATTCCTTGTGTCTTTCAGAGGAATCGCCTAAGGATTGGAGAGAGTGTTAATCCTTTGTGTTCCACAAAGATGATTTAAACCAGGAAGGACAGCCAGGTTTAGCCAAGTGTATATTGCACATCCTGGCACCAAATGTATGTTTTTCATTGCTTCTTCAATCACAGAGTTTTATATGCCATACTCTGTTCGTTACACTTTGTTTGGTGAGATGGAGAAGCAGTCTCACTCCATCTTGGCTGCATGGCCATCCATAGACACGAGGCTGACCAGAAGAGTTTGATGGTCAGAATAACTCTGGACGAATCAAAGATCATTCTGTTTCAATATGCAATCAGCCAGCTGGACTATTTTGGGACATGCAATTATTATTCTTTCAGAAGAGTCCCAAAGCCATGTCGAGAAATAGCCCACCTGCAACTTACAAGTGACAAAAGATGCCATTCAATCAGAATAGAGCTGGAAGGGACCTTGGAGGTTTTCTAGTCCAACCCCCTACTGGAGATGTTAATTGTCTTTCAGAATAGGTAGGATTATCTAACAAAATGCACAGGTACAGTATAGGTGGCACCTTGCTCAATAGTACTAACTATGAAAAGGATCTTGGAGTCCTAGTGGACAACCATTTAAATAGGAGCCAGCCGTGTGCAGCAGCTGCCAAAAAAGCCAACACAGTTCAAGGCTGCATCAACAGAGGGAGAGAATCAAGATCACGTGANTAGTCTTAACCCCAGGCCTGATGGGATAGCCAGGTTCTGAGGGCTGTGCGGAAGGTCTGGAGGGTGGTGAGGGTACGAATTTCCATGGGGAGATCGTTCCACAGGGTCGGAGCTGCCACCGAGAAGGCTCTCCTCCGCGTAGTTGAATAATAATTCTTGGAATAATATCCAAGAATTCCAAGAATAATATCCTTGGAACAATTATAACCATTAAGATGGTGAGGAGCTTTTGCGGAGTAAGGGGAAACAACTTGGGTTCGATTTCCAAAAATTCAGAAGCGGGGAAACTTACCTGTAAGGATTCAAACTGCAAAGAGTGATGGCTGGGAACATCTTCGGTTCTGAGTGAACTGACATTGACATGACAACTGGGTAGGCCCAGTACTGGTTGAAGATGAGTGCAAACTGCCAGTAGAGCATAGCAAAGCTGGATAGGAAGAGCAGCGCCCAGAAGGCTGTTTTCATCCTATTACCGCCCGAGCAGACCAAGCGAATGGTGCCATGGATTGTGGTGTTTAAGCAGAAGAACTCAAAGAGGTCCCTGAAGGAGCTGTAGAATTCAATCAGGGCAGCGTCCTCTTCCTTGGCTGCCTCTTCCGTTTCTTTCGGCAAAACCTCCCCCATTCTGTCAATCTGGAACAGAAGTTTGGGATTAGGAATTAGGGCAACCCAGAGGATAAAATACCAGAGTCAGGCCCTTTTCAGGGCTTTATAATCCTTCACTCCTCCTCTTTCTCCCCGCTGCACTTTCCTCTCCAAGTTTGAGAATTCCCGAGAAGCATGATTAATCCATTCTACTTTGATGCCTGTCACAATTCCTCATTCTTACAAACCTTAAATAGGTCTCCAGGTCCAATAATTGTCCAAGAAAAGGAGGGAGGAATTTAAATCACAGGATACAAACTTTCAGAAGTATTGCTCTATTTCCCAGATTTCAACACGGGCTGGTTACATGTGTCAGCCCCAGTTACGAATGGCAGAGTTCCACGAGTGGGTGGGCTGGGTAGAATTTTATTTTATTTTTATTTTGAAAGACTTGTCTAATCTACAAAGGGAATATAGCAGGCAGTCTGGAGAGAACAGCTGTTTCTTCACTCTGGGATCCAATGCTAAAATCGGGTGAGGCAAGATTTGTTTGTTTTTAATTATCATTTTAATACAGCTTTTTTTTTTAAAGTAGTGACAGCTGAGTTACAAAGATGAGACATCTATTTCGGAGGAGTCCTGACAACAACTAAAAAACAAAAAACCAGAGCGAAGTCTTTATAAGATACTGCTCTCTGCTGGTTGCGACCAAAGAAAGCCGAATGCGTACCAGATGCTAGAATAAGCAGAATGAGGAACAATATTCAGGTACATATTTTCAAGGCCTTCCACAAAAAATGTTTCACGTCAGGACAAATTTGGGAGTTTCAAACTTGTAGGACGAAAGATTTTCAGGGGATTGTTCTAAAAATCTGCCCCCTCTGTGAGCATGCATGCTGTTGCCCCAGCCCAGTTCCATTGTATTTCTTCCACAGGGGGGAGAGAGGGGGGGAGGGGAAGTGAGAGAGAGAAAGAGAGAGGGGGAAAGAAAGAGATGGAGGGAAAGAGAGGGAGAAAGAGAAGGAGGGAGAGGGAGAAAGAAAGAGAGGGAGGAAAAGAGAGGGAGAAAGAGAGAGGGATGGAAAGAGAGAGGGAAAGAAAGAAAGAGATGGAGGGAAAGAGAGAGAGAAAGAGAGAGGGAGAGAAAGAGAGAGGGAAAGAGAGGGAGAAAGAAAGAGAGGGAGGGAAAGAGAGAGAGGGAGAAAGAAAGAGAGGGAGGGAAAGAGAGAAGGAGAAAGAGAAAGAGAAAGAGAGAAAGAAAGAGAGAGGGATGGAAAGAGAGAGAGAAGGAAGGAAAGAATAAGAGAGAGGAAGGGAAAGAGAGAGAGAGAATAAAAGAGGGAGAAGAAAGAGAGAGGGAGGGAAAAAGAGAAATGATATTACAAAAGTTTTTCCTTTTTATTGTTGCTAAACGTGATATTTCAAAAGCAGGGGGAAAATGAAGGGGCACAAAGGTGCATTTATCACGTTTTTCTTAGAACAATTAGCTGGACTCTGCCTTGTTTATCATTATTTTAGGTAGTAAAACCTCATTATTCAGGTTAAATTGCCGTGTTGACACTTTGCTAAATAAGTGGGTTTTGGGTTGCCGTTTGGGCACTAGCTCTCTAAAAGGTTTGCCATCACTGCTATAAGGACAAGAACAGGAGAAGCATCTGCCTTTTACAGATGTGTCTGTAAGGAAATGCATTTTTGGATGTGGTTTTGCAGAAACGTCTATATCTGGACGGCAGTTCCTAAATTCATCCCGTTTCCATTTGCAGTTATCATTCTTTCTATGCTGACAGCCAGCAAAGCAAAACTGAACAAAAAGAAGAAGCTTTTTTTTCTTGGTTTTGTGAGTGAGCAGAATTACAATTAATTCCTTGCAGAGAAAATCACTGCAATCAAATAATCAGTTGCTATATTTGTCTTGGGTGTGTGTGTGAGCAATATAGACAAGAAGAGTGTGTCTTTGTAACAGTCCTGGGACATAATTTTGAACGGCAGAGAAGTTACTTGAATTCACACCAAGTCGGCATCCTAATTCCAAACTCGGATTTCACTATGGTTCTCCTTTCGGGTAGTGGTGAAATTCAAATTTTTTTTACTACCGATTCTCTGGGCATAGCCAGGGAAGGATAGTGCAAAATCCCCATTCCCTCCCCACTCCAAAGGAAGGATAGTGCAAAATCCCCATTCCCTCCCCACTCCAAAGGAAGGATAGTGCAAAATCCCCATTCCCATCCCACTCCAGGGGAAGGATACTGCAAAATCCCCATTCCCATCCCACTCCAGGGGAAGGATACTGCAAAATCCCCATTCCCTCCCCACTCTAGGGCCAGACAGAGGTGGTATTTGCTGGTTCTTCGTTCTCCAAACTATTCAAAATTTCCGCTATCGGTTCTCCAGAACCTGTCAGAACCTGCTGAATTTCACCCCTGCTTTTGGGCTTCCCCTCTCAGAAATGCTCACCTTTTCGGTGTTATAAAAAATTCAGACTTCTGCTCCTGCCTGTAACACACACAAAAAAACGTGGAAATACTCAGTTCTACCCTGTTCCCCTGAAAATAAGATTTCCCCGGATAATAAACCCAATTGGGCTTTTGAGCGCATTGTGCTAAAATAAGCCCTCCCTGAAAATATTGCAGCACAGCAGCCCACCTTGAGGTGACCACGCTCGCCACCTCCTGCACCTCAAAAATAATAAGACCTCCCCGAAAATAAGGCCAAGCGCTTATTTTGGGGGTCAAAAGAAAATAAGATTCTGTCTTTTTTTTGGTGAAACACGGTGCCTCTTCCCATCTGACTTCTGATAATCAGAAGCTATTTACATTTCTGTTTTTACTCAGTAGAAAAGTTAAGCCGAATTCCAGGCAAAAAAAGAGTTACGTAACTGTTATATGATGCAAGCAATTGAGTTATACCAATGTCATCACCAGGTAAAAAAGCCACACACTTATTATCTGAACTGATGATATCATGTGGCCCAGGACAAGTAGCTACTGAATCATCTTTGCATTTCCAACACCGCGTTGCAGAAAACACAGTGATTCAAAGGCAGGTTCTTCACTCATTATCCAACACTATGACTTCTGATGTAATGAAATCCTGTCGGAGGATGCATGTCTGAGCCGCCCACCAAAATTCACTAGCTAACAGGAAAAACCCTTCGTGGGGAGATCATAAAAGTCCCACCTACTCAGTGAGGTGAAATCAAAGCATCGCTAACTCGTGACGTGATGCACACGTCACGTGATCTTGATTCTATCCCTCTGTTGATGCAGCCTAGAACTGTGTTGGCTTTTTCGGCAGCTGCTACACACGGCTGGCTCCTATTTAAATGGTTGTCCACTAGGACTCCAAGATCCATCTCATAGTTACTCATTCCAAGCCTCTTGATTCATTTCACTCATTCAGCTTCCGCTGGATCTATCCTTAATTGTAGTCAACAGTGATATCT